TGCACCTGGTGTGTGAGAAAACAGAGTTTCTTTGAATAATAGTGTCTGTCGGGGGCCACTCATGCCCTCTGTGCCTCCTCATGCCCCCATATGAGGGCATAAAGGGCAGCGTGGCTCCCTCAGTTCCTTCTTACCACCCATAGCAAAAAGATGGAACCTGGCAGTGTCTGACCTGCGAATTTTAGCTTTGGCTAAACCTTCTTGAAGATTCTCTAAATATAATATCTAATATCTTCAGAAGTCTCCTGATTACCTTGATTTTTCAACTGCTGTGATAATTTAGGCCTCTCTTGACTAACAACTAGATTCCTCCCTCACCTCCCAAGCACTCCCTGTACAATACTTCTTAACATGGCAGTCTCAAAAACTGCAGGCTTTAAGCCGTGTCCATCCTGCTTAACTAATTTGACTAATTTCCTTAAAAGTAAGTGCCTCATCTGTCTAGGAGAGTCACACATAATGACATATGCTCAGTAGGCCTGTCATTCTCTGCTGGGATGCATAAGTCACAAGACATGAGGCTGAAACTCTGTCTTCTGGAACGATCCATGAAGGTCTCCTTGAACCTTGAGGAGATGAGCTCCAAGGTATCCTGCTAATGGACAAGCCAGTGTTTATCCAGCACCCTGTCTACCAGACAAGCTACACTGAATACCAATGCAGAGAAAATGGAGCCGAGAATGTGCCAGGCACTAGCACTAAAGCTGATCCCAATATCCCTTGCATTGAATTGGGCACTAACATCTCCATTGTCGACGTCTGACACAAGGGACCACTCTGAATCGGACACCAAAAGGGACTGCTCCAGGTAGAGCTTGGACGTAAAGACCGACATTGCAAATCCTTTGGAGGGAAATCCACCAGGCCCGCTTAGTTTCAAGGGCTAGAGAGGAGGAGTATCCTAAAGTGCAAAAGACCGTGCCAGCACTGATCTTGGCTCCAGTGGTGCAACCCTTGGTGTTAATGTGAAACACAGAATAAGCCTGGGGAGAACTGGAACAGTCATTGGTGCCAAAGCACCTGCTAGTGCCAGTACAGACTCTGGAACTGAGAGCACCACACGCTTCGGCAGCATCCCGAAGGAAATCTATTCCTCACCATCGGCAGAGCAAAAGTTCTCCCTATCTTCAAATAGAAAATCTTCTCCAGGGAGGTCACTGGTCAACACCATGGAAAGGTCTATCAGCTTTCCCTGCAGGCCTGCACCACCACTGATTCATAAGGAAGGGCACTGGACTAGCCAGCACCTGGTGAACAAATTGTACTTGTTATGCTGACAAGGCCTAAATAGGGTTACTGGGGCCCACCAGCCAGTCTTTGCCAAACTTGAGGAAGGGGTCACTCTACTTATCAGCATCTCTTGCCAGACCACATATGCCAAAATATCATGAGGAATCGGATCTGGGGGCAGAGCAATATCAACGCTCTGTATCACCACCAAAATACCAGTAGAGTTCAGGGGAAGAGGGTTCTATTCCTAGTATTTCCTCATTCCAAAGAAGAAAGGGGGTCTTCATGCTATTAAGGGGACTCTATGAATACATTTGTTGCCTCAGGCTCAACATAGTAGCAATTGCTTCCATCGCTCCATCTCTCTGAGCTCAAGACTGGCTCATAGGTCTGTACTTGCAGTATGCATACTTCCATATAGCTATTCATCTGCCCCCCAGAAGAATCTAAGATGCACAGTGAGGCCCAACCATTTAATCAGAGAGGATCCTACCCTTCAGATTCTTCTCTGCAGTAAGAGTCTTCACAAAATACTTTGCAGTAGTGGCAACACATTTAAGGAGGCAGGGAATCCATGTCTACCTGTACCTTGATGATTGGCTCATCAGAATCAGTTCCCAACAGGAGATTGCAACAGCTTTGGGATACATCCTTTCCCTGTTCTCTCAACTAAGAATCCTTGTGAAGAAATCCTCCCTTGAACCATGGGAGATGATAGAGTTTATAGGTGTTTTGATCAGTTCCACATCAGCCAGAGCCTGCCTACCAGAAGACCAATTCCAGTTTCTCCAGTGGGTGGCAAACACCCTAAAATTGAACCCCAAAATGGTGCACACATGAACTCTTTGGCCATAGGTTTGTGTGCATGTACATGACACTGTTTGCCAGACTTCACCTCCAGTCATTATAGCTGTGGCTGAGGTCCATGTACTCCCTGTCCAGACATCACATGAACAGGAGGGCCACTGTCCTGCCTCTGGTCCTACAAGAGATCCCTCGGTGCTAAGACCCAGTGAACATGTGGGAAGGGGTTCCCTTCTTTGTTCCTTCCCCATGAAGTTCCTTCCCCACTTGCCACACACATTGCAGGAACAGCCTGGGTGCCCATCTGAGCCATTTGCAGGTGCAAGGGACATGGTCTCGGTATGATGTAAATTTTGTATATGAATGTCCTGGAGCTGAGAGCTATCAGACTAGCCTGTAGAGCATTCCTGCCTGTTCTGCAGAACACCACAATGCAAATCCTGACTGACAACACGTCCACTATGCACTATATACATACCAAACAATGAGGTGCCTGATCATCCCATCTCTGCCAGGAAGCCATCTGACTCTGAATGTTGTGTCCCCCAACACAAGATTACCCAGCTTGCTATATACCTACCAAGGGTCAGCAATGATCTGGCAGACTTCTTAACCAGGCATGCAATGACCAGCCACAAATGGTCACTGTAGGATCTATCATGGAGCCATTATTCCATCAATGGGGGGACCCTGTGATAGACTGTTTTGGCACAAAAGACAACACCAAATGATCAAACTTCTGCTTAAGAGAAGGTGAGAGTCTTAGCTCATTACAGCTGTTTTTTCTTCCTTTTGGTGGTCTTGAGGGATGCTATATGCTTTTCCACTGATTCCCGTAATCCCCAGGATAAATATCCAAGATCAGGTGAGACAAATTTGCGGTCATCCTAATAGCCCCTGACTGGCTAAAGCAGTATTGGCTGTCAAACAAGATACAGATGTCCATGCAGTCTCCCCATTCCTCTGAGCCTGCCTGGACATCATATCTTAGAATCAAGATCAGAACTTGCACCCAGACCTGCAGTTGTTGCAATGATGGCTTGGATACTGGTTGGGTGAGCACTGCTGACAAGTTACTGGTCCCTGAAGGTTAAGAAAATCCTCATCCAAAGCAGGAAATCTTCCACCAGGAAGATTTACTTCCTCCTAATGGAAAAGATTTTCCATCTGGGTATTCCAAAATAATATGGACCCAGTAGAGGTACAGATACCGAAGTTCCTTGACTATACACAGCTACTAAAAAAGCTGGACATTTTAACTCTTTCAAGGTCCACCTACCAGCAATATCAGTATGTACACCCTGGTACAGTTATAGTCTATCTTCTTGCATCCTATGGTATTGAAATTCCTTAAGGGCCTGCTTCATGTCTATCCTCCAGCTAGAGACCCTACTCCTTTGTGGCATCTCTGTCATCCTCCTGCAACTCACAGAACCTCCCTTTTAACCACTGTTGGATTACTCAGTACACCATGCAATCATGGTCTTTCTGGTGGCCATCACTTCAACCCCAGAGAGTCAGAGAGCCTCCAAGCCCTCATGGGTAGTGTGGCCTACACATCATTCTGTAGGGACAAGTTGGTGTTGAGACCACATCCCAAGTTTATCCTTAAGGTAGTCTGAATCCTTCACCTAAACCAAACAATTGCCTTGCCAGTCTTCTTCCTGAAGTCACACTCTGGATGTTGCCAGGGCTTTGATGTATTACCTTAAAAGACCAACACTTCCTATCTTCCCGCCTCTTTGTGGCCATTTCCAGCCCATTTAAGGGCCAAACCATCTGATCACAGAGAATCTCCAAATGGATCTCAAAGTGCATTTCCACTTGCTGTCAACTGGCTGGCAAGCCTCATTGACGCACACTCCACTAGGGCAGGGGTTCTCAACCTTTTTCTTTCTGAGCCCCCCCCAACATGCTATAAAAACTCCACGGCCCACCTGTGCCGCAATAACTGGTTTTCTACATATAAAAACTAGGGCGGCATTAGGGGGTAGCAAGCAGGGCAATTGCCTGGGGGCCCCCCATGAAGCTACATTGCTCAGGCTTCAGCTTTAACCCTGGGTGGCGGGGCTCAGGGACTTCAGCCCCATGCAGTGGGACTTCAGCTTTCTGCCCTGGGCCCCAGCAAGTCTAATGCTGGCCCTGCTTGGAGGCCCCCCCTGAAACCTGCTTGAGGCCCCCTTGGGGGCCGCGGACCCCTGGTTGAGAACTACTGCACTAGGGCATAGGCTGAATCTACCACCTGCTTCAGGAACATTCCAGTCTCTGAGATCTGTATGGCTGCAATGTGGAGTAACCCACTGGGTTGTTTTGTTAAACATTATTGCATTGACATAGCAGCCAGGGCAGATGCCAAGTTCAGGAGGCAGTGCTACAGTCATTGTTTGACTGATATAACTGGAATGCCTCATTCCCACCATCCAGAGAGGACACTGACAGTCTCTAAAAAGAATACCTACAGTAATTGTGGCTCTTTGAGATGTTGTTGTCCATGTGGATCCCATAACTTATCTTACATCCCTGGTTTTCAGAGTCCTCAGCAACATGGGCTTTGAATTGTGAGGGAACTGATAGAGGCTGATGGCTCTCCTGCCCTTTATGCCCTTGTATGGGAACATGAAGCAGCACAGGGTATATGCATTGTCCCAAAGGACACCGTTATTCAAAGAAATTCCAGCTCTGCATGCATAAGGCACATGTGAACCAACAGCGGGATCCACACTGATTAGTGTCTTGAAAAACCACAGTTACTGGAGGGGAAGTAACCATTCTTTTCTTGCACCAGATGATCTGTCTTGAAATGTTTTCTGTGTGAGGTTTTCTTTCACAGTAAGACTGGGCTAAAATCTGACATATGAGAAATCATTAATCAGGCACTTTAGAATCCTAAATTTAATCTAAATCTAGTTACTTATTTTTGTAGTGGTTTATAACTTTACCTATATACATTTCTATATTTGTTCCAGGTGAAAGACCATTCAAATGTCCCTTTGAAGGCTGTGGAAGGTCGTTCACAACATCCAATATTAGAAAAGTTCACATCAGGACGCATACTGGTGAAAGACCCTATTACTGTACAGAACCAGGATGTGGGAGAGCATTTGCCAGTGCAACCAATTACAAGAACCATGTGAGAATACATACAGGTACGTGAGTGACATTTTGTTTGAAGAGCAATTTGCTTTTTTAGCTGCTGTGATTTTCTCCTTGGTGGACCGATTATTGCTGCACATCAGAACTGGGATAGAAAGTTTCTTATAGTGATGTGTCATGGTTTTTGTTATTTTATTTAACCCTTTTCTCCCCTTTGACCACCCACAAATGGTCACTGTAGGGTCTATCATGGAGCCATTATTCCATCAATGGGGGACCCCTGTGATAGACTGGTTTGCCCCAGAAGACCACACCAAATGACCAAACTTCTGCTTAAGAGGAGGTGTGATTTTTCTCATCCTGCTCTCAATACAGTTGTATCTAGGTCCTAACCCAAAGCCATTTGAAGACAGTGGAAAGATTTCCATAGAATCATAGAATATCAAGGTTGGAAGAGACCTCAGGAAGCCATCTAGTCCAACCCTCTGCTCAAAGCAGGACCAATCCCCAACTAAATCATCCCAGCCAGGGCTTCCAAAGGGCTTTGGATCAAACCCTTAGTCCCTGAGGTTCGCCTTTATTGTTAAGTAATGTAAAGCACAAACTTCAGTCTGTTGTTGGCTGTTCCTGGAGTTTTTCTCTCTTGGACCACTCTCTCCCTGCTCTTATTTCCCCCTCCCTTGCGGAAAGAATCAACATCTGCTGCTGCTCTTCGAGAGATATCCCTGTTGGTGCATCCCTGCGCCTTCACTCAGGTTTTTACAGCGGTACTCGCATGGGCCATGCACGCGAGGTGCTTGCCTCACATAAGAAACATAAGAAAGGCCGTACCGGGTCAGACCAAAGGTCCATCTAGCCCAGTATCCTGTCTACTGACAGTGGCCAATGCCAGGTGCCCCAGAGGGAGTGAACCTAACAGGCAATGATCAAGTGATCTCTCTCCTGCCATCCATCTCCACCCTCTGACAGACAGAGGATAGGGACACCATTCCTTCCCCATCCTGGCTAATAGCCATTAATGGACTTAACCACCATGAATTTATCCAGTTCTCTTTTAAACTCTGTTATAGTCCTAGCCTTCACAACCTCCTCAGGCAAGGAGTTCCACAAGTTGACTGTGCGCTGCGTGAAGAAGAACTTCCTTTTATTTGTTTTAAACCTGCTGCCTATTAATTTCATTTGAGATCCCTAGTTCTTCTTCGAGTGCTTGCTCATATCGATTCCAA